CTTTTTCTACAGATACTTTTTGTCTTGTGGTTTAAAGGTGTTCTTTTGTGCATTCTGAGTAATTGTCCAGAACTGAATAAGCATTTTATGTTTTCTTACTGGCATTTAATTTTCAGTTCTCTTGGAAGTAATTTTTGCAAAAGGTATGAAGGAGGCATCTTCTTTTTCCTGCTAATTTCTCCTCACACGAGTGGCTAGTGATCCTGGCATAACCCACCTCTTCAGCAGCAGCAGCTCTGCCCCCGGCACGCTGGCCCCCACACGCCTTTCCCCTCCTGTGGGCGCAGTCTGTCTAGCTCCCCTAGCTGTAGGTGTGGCAACGTGGGTCTTCATAATTTAAAGGTCATCTGGCTATTCTTTGCACTTTATTTTTCCAGATGAGTTTTAGGAGCAGTTGTTCAAGTTCCAGCAAAATACCTGCTGTCTGGTTGTGACATCCTGCAGATGCTGAGCGACATTCCTTGCATAGATTCAGTGGGAGGAGCCTGTGTCTCCCCACCCAGCCGGGGCTCATGCAGCTTGTGTCTGTCATAATGTAAAAGCCTCGCTCATACTTTCCCTCATGAAAGTCTCCTTGTCTTTTGTCAGAACTCTGGAATGCTTGGCCTGGATTCTAATCCCCATGTCAGAGGGAGCCCCGACCCGTGGCCCTCACGTGAGGGTTTCAGCACCAGGCCCCACCAGGCTCCCGCCAGAACTGGCCGCTGGCTGCAGGCTTGGCCTTTAGGAGCCCAGCGTCCACTGCCCTAACTGAGGCTTAGCCGGCTCAGAGTGGCCCTGCTGGGCTGTCTGAAACCATAACTGCCATGGATGATGTTACTTTAAGCCATTAAATCTGGGATCATTTGTCCTTAAGCAGTAGAAAATTAGTACAGCAAACACCCTTCTGAGTGTGGTCTGGTTCTTTCTGTGGGCCCCCTAGGGACACATAATCAGAATATGGTAGTACCATGACTGAGCACTGCTGCCTCACCCTAAACCTGTAAGTTGGTAGCGGTTACTGTGTTGTGGCTGAGGTGATTGACATTTGTGTTGTGTGTGGTAAGAAGCGGTGGCCTGCATGTGTGAGGCAGAGCAGTCAGTCCAGGCAGTCAGCAGAGACTGCGCTTTCTATGTGGAGACCGACCGTAGTCTCTGTAAGAATAAGTGAACATCCCCGGTGGTTCCGCGTGGGAACCTTCCAGACCTGGGCTTGTACCCCTTCCAGACCTGGGCTTGTGCTGCAGTGGTCCTGAGTAGTCCTCATGGACTGACACCAGAAAGTACCATGAAAAATCTTTACATTTTCCTGAAATTCCTTCATTTACTTTAAAAAAGTCGTTTCCCATGCTGAGACCATGTCATCCGCTTGGCGGCTCCATAGTTTTCTCTTTTCTCGAGTGGGTTATTCTGTGCTCCAGCTCTAGAGGCTCCCCCTTCCCATATCGCCAGCGAGGAGGCCCGGAGCTGCACTCTCCGGTACCTTCCGAGGAGCAGCCCCGCCCAGGCAGGAGATGCTGACTATGTCAGGGGAGAGGAGCAGTAGATACGTGGCCAGACATGAGCGCTACTGCCCTTGCTAAGCTGGGTTGGAATCAGAGGAGTTTGGTCAATACTAGACTACCTCGACTCTAGTCATGCCCGGGCTTGGGGGTCTTGGGGGTCTCAGACAGGGATCCTTTCCTGTGGTCCATGTTCTCCTGGGCACTGTCTTTCTCAGCTGCTGAGGAGGAGGAAGAGGCCAAGGGGAGGGCGCTGCAGTCGAGCCTGTGAGGGCAGGTCCTGGGACTGAGGATCCGCAGGCACAGCCCTCGCTGTCGTCAGTGGTAGGACAGGAAGGCCGGCTGCACCTCTCTGGCCGTGATGAAGTTGTCCGTAAGTGTCCGGAGGCTGGAAGCCAGCAGGCAGCTTTGCTGAGTGGCTGTACCAGCATCAGCACCACAGCGTGTCTTTGCAGTTCCTTTGTTATGTGATTTTTTTCGTATTTCTGCTTTCCCTTGTGTCTTCTGGCCTGACCGGGTGCTCAGGGACCTTCCTCTTGCTCTGACCTGGCCCTGCCGCCCGCTCAGCCTGTCACTTTCCTGGCTCACGCCTGCCTTCCTGGACTTGTCCCTCTCACTTTCTCTGGCCCTCATTGTCATCATATCTGCAGGTAATTTCCTTCCTAGGAAAGGTGGGGGGGGGGATGGGGGGGGGAAGGTGCTGAGTTTTCCAAGTAGCTGGTGAGGTGCAGGATCCCAGGTTGGTGTTATGGTTGGTGGCCTGCCCGCTGTCTCTGGTCTTGCTTTTGCTGATCAATCTGGCGGCTCTGCCTCTGGTTCTTATGAGTGACTTTTTTTTAATCTCAAAGCTCACAGGCCTTTCTCCTGGGCATCTGAAGTTTCAAGTGATGTGCTAAATTACCCCTTTCAGGATTTTTCTGTTAATTTCATTTTCTTGCAGTCACAGGCTTTCCCTGACTGTCTGGCCATCCTTTCTTTTCTATGATTATGTATGAGTGAACAAAAAATCACGTTTGAAGTTGGATGGGGTCAGTTGTCTTGTTTTGTTTGAGTGGTTGGGAAGGGAAGGCCTAGCAGGGCTTTTGTGAGCCTTGAAAGCTGTGTTAGTAACTATCCCATGATAAATGCCCCACGTCCCCAGAGTTGCTGTGGGTCTCCTGCTACCCAGGGCCACGCGGGGGTTTCTGCAGTGCTGAGCACTCTCATGGGACCACATTTTAGTCACAATGAATTGGGAGACAATTACAATGTCGTTAAAAAACACATCTTCCAGTCATTTAAGCTAATTATGTATATTGCATATGTATTTTAGATAATTCCCCAGTTTCTTACATAATTTTCATGCATAGTTTTTTATACTGAGGATTTTGTGATATTTTCCAGAAGAGCACTTTTAGTGAATCCTTAGTTCTGATCTTGTTACTGAAGAGCTGAATATAAATTGGTATTTTAGGCCTATTAACATAGTAGTCTTAAATTGTGATCATTTTCTTGAGTCAATATAAAGACTTAACGCATTTAAAGTGATTGACTGTCATGATAGTAACTAGTGGTCTCTGTTGCTCCCAAGTGAATACCTAGGGGAGTTAAAATACACTAGTAGGTTATGTGCAGGACTGAGTTTTTAATCTTCATCTAAATGTCGGTCACTAGAACCTAAAATATTCTCCTTACTTGCACATGATCCATTCGTATATCTTGGAAGAAATTAATATCCATTTGCTATAGGTGCACGTCATCATGTCAGGAAGACGCACTTTAAACTGATCCCACAAGCACTTGGTGTCTTGGTAACTGATTTCATGGTGATGGTGCAAGTCCCTGCTGTCTGGGCTGTGAGGCAGAGCGACCCTTTCCATGCCCCCCACCCCATCGCTGTGGGGTGCAGCATCACATAGTGTTCTTAAGTGTCCCAGGAACTTGTGGCTCCAGGATGTTCATATTTTAAGCCTCTGGTTGGAGTTCTGATAGAAAACACGAGTTAATGTTGAAGGGAGAGGCCCAGATAAAGCAACAACCCCACAAGTGGCAGATAACCCCGTCAGCCACGTTAGCACTGGCCGGTGGCGACCCGGTAGCTAGGCAGCAGCACCTGTGGCAGCAGCCCTCCGTGTCAGACACTGCCAGGTCCGCGGCAGCCCCCACAGGTTCTCGTGGCTGCACCCTCATGGTACAGAGCTGTGGGGTGAAGTTCTAGCGCCTGTAGCAGTCATGCATGCTTTCTCTCACAGATCATTGGTCATTCATATCTGTGGTTATTCATAGCCAAATCTGTTGAAATGCATTTTCTGCTTTTTCTTTTTTTCTCATGAGAAAATTCACTGCAACTGCTATTTCAGACAGAGGCCTAAGGGTTGGGACAGCACATTGAAATATGAAAAATCTTTAATAATTTTTAAATGATCAAAACCTTGGTCACCATCTTTTCTTGTTAGAATAACCATTATATAAGAGAAACACGTTTGAAGTACGGACAGTGTTTGAGCCAGGAGGAGGCCAGCCATCGCGACAGCAGTGTCCTCGCCCACCCCACGCCTCTCTCAGGCAGGCCTGCTTGTTTCAGCGCTGGGTCCTAACTGCAGAGGCTCGGCCCCGGGAAAAGGCTGAATACAGCAGCCAAGCACCGAGTAGCGACTGTAACTTGCCTGCATTTAATGAGTTCTGGTTTCATTTTTAATTGTTCCATTTATATCCCATCTAACATGCACGCTGGGATTCTTTTTGACTCCAGACTGGGGGGAGAGGGGAGCCGGCTGTGTGTGGTCAGTGCCTGGCGCTGGCTTGGTGACTGGTAGCTTTAGCTTTCTGTGGTTTGTATCAGCCTTTCCCTACCTGCTTCTGATCTCTTGACTGCAGGAAATCATCTCTAACTTTCGGAATCTCATAGGGTTGTTTTGAAAGTTAAATAAACCAGCACATAGGAAAGTTAAAATTGTATTTGGCATGAAAGAAACTAATGCTAGTAGTAGTAGATTATTTTACTAAGTCTCATAGCAGACTGCTTCATATAATAGCACGTGGACTTAAGGAAGGATGAAATAGGAAAAAGGTTTTTCTGTTCCCCAATATCTAAGAATAATTGAGGATTGGAAATTTCCATTTTAACTCAGAGCCAGAGTATCCATTATGTTAACTGCTTTTGAAGATTTCAAATATTTGGGAGAATTCAGATAAATATTTGGGCTAAGAAATGATTTACTAAATAGAAAAGTTATGAAAAACATTAATTTCTTTCCAGAGAAGTCTCAAGAGGTACCCAGAGAAAAAAAGTCCTTTTTCATATGAAACATGTTAAATGAGCCTGCTGTTTGCCCATTCTGAAGATGATCTTTCATCTCCCACCACATCAGCCATAGTGCCAGCCTTTGGCCCTCTCCCAGACTCACTCACTCACCTTCATGATGCTCTTCTGTTAGTCCATGGAAATCTTCCATCCAGGAAGGTAACTGACAAAAGTGGTCATTGCTAGACATTCTTAACATGGACATGATGTAATAATTCACTATTCATGTCATTTTCTCTGCCCAGCACCAACTTTGAACTTTTTCCTTGTTCTCTAGCCTGTTCTCAGCATGTAATTTTAGTCTTCAAATGTGGCATTTTTTTGAGCATCAAATACATACTTAGTAACTCCTCACATGCCCCTACTAGATGTTCGAGAAATAAGAAGGAAGCCTTGCTCTTGGTGACCCTCGAGGAGTCTGAGCTCTTCCTGTGGGTGAGGAAACACCACCTGCTAGCGCCTGCAGAGAAATGGTGCCTGCTTAGCTGTGGTGAGGCTGGGACTGTGGGTGCTCAGAGATGACCCCCCCCGCCCCAAAGTGTTGTGAAGAATATGAGATGTAAGTTTATCCTTAAAGGGCAAGTAGGATTGGAAACATAGTGAAGGAAATCTGGGAAGATATTTCGGGTGGAGAAAAGAGTTTGAATATAGAGAAGGCATCAGAGAGTAGGAAGAGGAGAGATTTCACCTTGAATGGCGGTGAGGAGAGAAAGGTGCCAGTGGGCCTGGTTCTGGAAGGAGACGCTAAAATGGGATAGTGTCTGAGTGTGTGTTGCTTTTAGCGTCAGTGGGAAAAAGCAGAACAAACAAACAAAAAACAATCTTTGTTGCCACTGGGCTTGCTCTAAAGATTACTACCTTTTCCCTTAGAACATCATTATGATTAAATTTAATTATATGTCAGGATATATTTTATAATAAAGATATAGTCATATTATAAGGCTGTGGGCATCTTTGTAGATAGCTTTATTAACCCATACCTGAGAGAACTGTGGGAATTGCTCGTGTAATGTGAGTGGGAGAGCTCAGCTTACAGCTCAGATAACCACCCCTTCTCTAGTGTGTAATGTGTGCCCAGGCTGATAAGGTTGACATGACTAGGAAGTTTTCAAGAAGCAGTGGTGTTCATCTTCTAGTTTTTCAAACTAAATATCAGTATTAAGCAGACACCTGTTTATTGAAATCATCTAAATATCAGAATTAAGCAAACATCACTTTATAAATTAAAATTAAATGCATCACCATTTTAACTTTTAAGCGGGAAAATAGAAAATTTCAGGAAAACAAAAAAGCATTCAAGATGTAACTGACTTTCAGAGAACAAGCAGCTTCTGCTCCCGATGGAAGGGCACATGGGGTACAGAGGGCAAAGGTGACTGCTACGGCTACGTGCAAGTGTGCTCCGGGGTGCTTCATGCTCACACCCGATAGAAGGTGTCATTCTGGGGTAAAGATAGCCATTTAACATACGACTGGTATAAAAACAGCTATAAATCTGTTCATCTTAATTTTTTAAGAATATATTAAAATGTCCCCACTTCAGAAAGCAGCTGTTAGTGGTGATCCTGAGTCACACACTGTTGACATGGGTGCTGTCACCTCGCATGGCCCATGGGGCCAGTCTCAGGAACGAGGATCTCAGTCTTCATGTAGCAGGTGGCTGCAATTATTCTGGCACCTTGTCCCCCAAGGCCTTCCAAAGTGCAGAGCCCCCCCCCCATCCCCCAGGAGTCCCTGTGGGCACAGCAGCAAGTACAGATTTGTTCTAGATTCTACATATTTTTACATCAAAGTCATGTGAATGTAGTCATTTTTGTAATAGATCCACATTTGTAAAAATAAGATTTTACATTATCAATGAGTAAAATCACCAGTTAAAAGGATGTGCTATCTTCTGACTTTGTGTGAAGATTTTTAGGGTATTTGACTCGCTGCTTTTTTTGCAATACTTTATCTTGGTCATATTTTTTAAGGACAGTAACTTGAATATAGTTGCAAAGTAATTTTACTGGTTCCCTGCCCCAGAGAAACAAAAGTGTGGGCATCTTTGTTAGATTGTCTTTTGACGAGTTCTGCCTGTATATTCATGTGGCGTGGGTGCTGATGTGAGTGGAGGAAGACTTCTCTATGTTATACTGGCATTGAAATAAGGCTTTTAAAATTTTAAACTAAATGGTTCAAGAATCTTAAATAACTGCGCTGATTAAATAACTGTCTTTTGTTCATAGATTTGGAAGCTCAGGATTGAAGTTTTGGTCTTTTTGGAATATTGGGAACAAAAGGGTTTAATACATTTGTTAGAATCAAATCAGTATGTCCCTATTTCTGTAATATCGATAAGTCGGAGGTAAAACAGTAAACATCTGGTGCCTATTGTGTGGTACATATAAGAAAGAGGAGAAGGGGGTTGAAGAAAGAGAAAGACACTTGTATCTCCCAGGTCAGGCGGGTCAGACGCAGCACAAGCACTGCAGGAGTCAGCGCTCAAGACTTGGCATCAGTGCGAGGTGGGGAATGTGCTTACTGGAGACCAGTGACTGGTGGGGGCGTCCAGGCCGGTAGTGAATGGTGGGGGGCGCCTGGGCCGTAAGTCTTCAGGTGATGTTGGGAGTGTTGTTGAAGCCTCAGTACAGGTGCCTGACTCTTGACAGGAGGCAGCTGCATTTTGTAAACAATTCTGAGGTTGAACTTCATTCTGTCATTTTTGGGGGTTCCTAGGAAAGTGTTGTGTCTGATCAGCATGAGTCTCGTTTTAGCGAGATTTCAGCCCTGGGGTCATTTAGAGGCAGATAAGGACTTGTGGTAATTGGAGGATGGGGGGACAGCCCAGGGCATCCCTGCATTGAGGTGACAATGATGAGGGTGTGACAGGGACGGGTGCTCCAGACTTGTGCAGAGACCGTTAACATGGCACCTTGGGGGACACTGAGGGGTTCAGTAAAAGCCCCAGGTTCTGGTATGAAAGATGGGTGTAGGTGGGTCAGTCTCACTAGCTCCCTGAGAGCTGCTTTATGGCATGTGTTAATAGTCTCTACAGAATTAACAGCCGTATAAATGTAGGTAACCTTTCTTTGTTTTTATTTGTAGATGCCTCTTCAAATGAACAGCAGGAGCTTTTCTGCCAGAAGCTGCAGCAGTGTTGTGTTCTGTTTGATTTCATGGACTCTGTTTCTGACTTGAAGAGCAAAGAAATTAAAAGAGCAACACTGAATGAACTGGTTGAGTATGTTTCAACTAATCGTGGTGTAATTGTTGAATCAGCGTATTCTGATATAGTAAAAATGGTAAGCCTCTAGACTTAACGTTCCTCAGATTTATATAAATACAAGTAAGATCTGAGGTGTAATTATGAATTCACAGGCAGGTTTTTAGTAAATTTGAAACAATGTACTCAATGTTCTCGAGACTGGTCCCCTGGAAGCCGAGTCCTGCCTGCTGATGCTAGTGTTCTGTGACAGCTGGGGGTTTGGGCACCGCAGTGGCCGCGGTGGTGTGCAGGGCCACAGAGCTGGTGTCTGTTGTCCAGACTAACCGATAATTCATGTCGTGGGCTGAAGAGAATTTCTAGAGGGTTAAGAATGACCGATGAAAATGAGGGAAAAGGGAGTCAGGTCTAAAAAAAATTCTTATTTAAGACATATTAATAACATGTGTTTTTAGAGTCTGTTATACTTGAATTTTAACTAAAGCTTAGACCTTTTAAGCAGTAGATGACATGTTTGAAATACCTGATGTGGAAAATAAGTTTCTGCCAACTATTGAAATAAAATTGTTTAGGATGCTGTTTGTTAACACTTCAACTATCAAATGGTAGAAATTTGTTTAGGATTTGTGGTTTTGTATTTTGGTACGTAGAATAATTCAGTAACAGAGAGAGTACCTGAGTGTATATACCTAAACCAGCCAGGGATAGAAAGTTATGTATGTTCTGAGGAAAGAGCAAAATTAGTGGGGAAATTATATTTGGTCTTATTAGTTGAGTTTTCATCATATTATACCAGAAGACCTGTGAAAAGAGCTTAGGAAATTTTGATTGGGTCGTTTTTGTTTTGACTTCCTACACTCACACAAAAAGTAAGCAACAATTTGAGGCTATACATACTGAATATTGTTAGGCTTCTTGTTTTGTATTTGTCATTAAGAAATGTTCAGAGGGCCCTCCCTGGTGGCTCAGAGGTTAAAGTCTCAGTGCTCTCAAGCTGTCACCAGCCTCTGTGGCCTAGTTTGGTCCTGGCCAGGGAGCTAGCCCACATGGCGCAGCAGACCTCTCCTGTCTCCCTGCTGCTCCCCTCAGCAGTGTATTTCAGTAGATCCCCCTGTTCTGCTCCCTACTCTCTCTGGTGAATCCTCTCACTCCCCACAACTCTGGGTTACACCCCAGTTCCTCTATGCATAAATAAATAAAAATCTTTTAAAAAGAAAAAAATGTTCAGGGGAGGAAATGCAGTAATTCTACTTCAGTGATTTCAAATGGTTTGTATTCAGGAATTTTTAAATCCTAAAAAGATACTTTTTAAAAATTTCTATGAAAATTTCTATGAAGTTGTTGACATAGATGTTGAAAGTATTCAAATTGTGAGTTGAGTTATTCTGTAATTTACTGTATGCCAATTCTGGGATTTCATTTCTTTGTTCAAATAAAAAGGTATGTTTTGTCTTTTTTAAAAAAAAAAAATCTCACAATTTCTAGATGAGTGAAGCTAACTCACATCCTTACTCCTTTTAAACTGCTATATATTTTTAACAAGAAGGTTGGTCTCAAAGGCGTTTTATGCTCTTTTACTGGATGTTTCCTTTTTGAAATGTTCTTTCTGCCCTTCTCCGAACCTAGTACCCATCAGGCAGCCTGGTACCCATCAGGCAGTCCCAGCACATCAGACTCAGGTTGTTACTTTCCCAGTCTCACGTGAAGGACTGTTAGTAGCTACTTGACGGAAGCATAGTTGGAACTGTGCTTGCACCACCAAACACCCCCTTGTCCCAACCTCACCCGCACGTACTTTATCTTAAGTGGCCACCCCTCGGTAATGTGGGCTTCAGTGTTCACTAAACCACTTGGTGTCTTCAAAGACCTGTGGGCTGGGATTACCTTTGCATTGAGATGGTACAAAAGATGACATCACAAATACAGCATTTCATTGATTCTAAAATGGAGACTCTTCGGCCTCCCCCGTGGCACAGCGGTTGAGCGCCAGGTTGCAAAGCTGCCCATAGCCTCTGCAGCGCTGGTTCGATCCCCGACTGCTCCCCGGCCACCGGAGGAGGGTCCCACATGGCGCCCAGACCTCTCCTACCGCCTGCTGCTCACCTCAGCAGTGTACTTCGGCCCTTCTGCCTGCTCTGCTCCCCACTCTGGCTTTGGTGAATCCTCTCACACTCCCGTGCTTCTGACTGTACCCAGTGCTTGTATAAATAAATAAATAAATCTTTAAAAAAAATAAAATAAGGGCCTCCCCAGTGGCACAGCGGTTGAGCGCTGGGTTGCGAAGCTGTCCGCAGCCTCTGTGGCGCCGGTTCGATCCCCTGCTGCTCCCCGGCCACCAGAGGAGGGTCCCACATGGCGCACAGACCTCTCCTGCTGCCCGCTGCTCCTCTCAGCAGTGTACTTCGGTCCTTCTGTCTGCTCTGCTCCCCGCTCTGGCTTTGGTGAATTCACTCACCCTCCCGCGCTTCTGACTGTACCCAGTTGAATCATGTTTTATATATCAAACAAAAAAGAAACAAACAAATAAATAAATAAATAAAAATGCCTCTTAAAAAAAATAATAAAAAAAATAAAAAATAAAATAAAATAAAATAAAATGGAGACTCTTGTCCAAGCACGTCCTCATTTCAGAGAGATTAGTAATTTTTTTTTAAGGCTCAGAGTAGATGGAATAAACTGACTCATTGTGGAGTAGTATAGGCCATGCCTGAGGTGACAGTAGGCATCTACTTGTCCATGCGCTCCCCGAGTCTGTGTGTGTACGGAGAGGGAGCGTGCCACACTCATGTGGGCTGCAAGGTAAGTAAGTGGTTGGGTTAGAGAAGGAGAGGAGTTGTAGAGCAATGGAAAGAACAAAGTTAGATTGTAGGGTTAAGAATTTTATGCTTCCCCCCTCACGTCCCTCCCCTTGCCTCCTCTTTTTTTCCAGCAAAATTTGGAAAGAACAATTCATAATTTAAGGAAAAGGAATCTAGAGGTAACCTGTAATCTTCAGTAGGTTGGTGTCTGAGGTAATGGGTAGAGTCAGTTAATGGGTAGAGAAAAGAGAAACACCTCCCTCTTAAAGAGGTTTATAGGTTTTGAACTAAGCTTACAGCCATAACTTAATGTTCTTCTTAATCAAAAGTATCATAGAAATATCTCATTTTTGCATCATTGAATTTAGCTACACCTCAAAGAACAGAAGTCTAAATTTATGTTTCTTTACAGATCAGTGCTAACATCTTCCGTACCCTTCCTCCAAGTGATAATCCAGACTTTGATCCGGAAGAGGATGAGCCCACACTTGAGGCTTCTTGGCCTCACATACAGGTATGGAATATAATTACATATTGATAATTTTTACATTTATGGCACCCTGCTGATGAAATCATGGCTTGTAGATCTGAATGTTTATGTAAAATATGTGACTTTTTAATGTGTTTTCTTAACATTCTTTTTCCACAATGTTATTTTTCACTTTTTATTGTGATAAAGTATATGTAACTCTTACATTTAACTATTTTGAAGTGTACAGTTGACCAGCACTAAGTCTACTGACAGTGCTATGCAACCATCACCATTAACAAGTTCCAGGACTTTTATTTATTTTTTTTTTGTGGGAGGGACCCTCGCCGGTGGCCAGGGATTGAACCGGTGCTGCAGAGGCCGCGGGCAGCCTTGCAACCCAGCGCTCAACCGCTGCACCACCAGGGGAGGCCCCAGGACTTTTTAATCACTCCAAACAGAAACCCCCTTGCCATTAGCAGCCTCTCCCCATTCCCTTATCTCTACAACCATGGCAGAGTAGAATTGACTTTCTATCTCTGTGGATTGGCCTGCTCTGGATTTTTTTTTTTTTTTAGAAAGTTTCTTTTTTCTTTTTTTTTTTTTGGTTTATTTATTTATTTATACAAGCACTGGGTACAGTCAGAAGCGCGGGAGGGTGAGAGAATTCACTAGAGCCAGAGCGGGAGCAGAGCAGGCAGAAGGACCGAAGGACACTGCTGAGGGGAGCAGCGGGCGGCAGGAGAGGTTTGCGCGCCATGTGGGACCCTCCTCCGGTGGCCGGGGAGCAGCCGGGGATCGAACCGGCGCTGCAGAGGCTGCGGGCAGCTTCGCAACCCAGCGCTCAACCGCTGTGCCACCAGGGAGGCCCTCCTTTCAGTTTTGATATGCTGTGTTTTTTACCTTCATCTCAAATGTTTTCTGATTTTTCTTGTGCTATCTTCTTTGAACCTTTTTTTTGGAATGTGTTTAATTTCTACATATTTGTGACTCCCAAATTTCTTTGTTACTGATTTCTAATGTTGGATTAGAAGCTATACTTTGAATATTCTTGATCCTTTTAAAGTTACTGAGGTTTTCATGGCCTTAGCAAATGTTCTGTCCTAGAAAATGTCCTGTGTATTTTTGAAAAGGATGTGTGCTCTCTTGTTGAATGTAGAATATGCTGTAGAAATCTCTTGGGTGTGGTTGGTTTTTAATGCTCAAGTCTTCTGTTTCCTTCTCAATCTTCCATCTAGTTCTGTCTATTAAAGTGAGATATTCTCCAGCCATCATTGTCTCTCTCTTCAGTTCTGCCAGTTTTTGCTTCATGTGTTTTGGAGCCCTGTTGTTAGCTGTGTACGTTCATGATTTTACATCTTCCACATCTTCTTACATCTTCCACATCTTACCATTCTAGCTCTAGCAGCTATTTCTGTATTACAGTTATTTTGTCTGATATTTTTATATCCACTCTAGGTAGTTTTTGGTTACTGTTTGCATGGTATATCTTTTCATCCTTCTATTTTCATTCTGTTTCTTTGAATCCAAACTGTCTCTCTTTTAAGCAGCATATAGTTGAATCATGTTTTATATATCAATTGTGACAGTTTCTGTATTTCTACTGGCGTGTTTAGTCCATTTACTTTTTTTTAAAGATTTATTTATGCATACAAGAGCTGGGGTACAGGACAGAGATGCAGGGAGTGAGAGGATTCATCAGAGACAGAGTGGGGAACAGAACAGGGAGACTGACTGAAATACATTGCTGAGGGGAGCAGCGTGGAGATAGGAGAGATCTGCTGCGCCATGTGGGTTGTTCCCTAGCTGGCCGGGGATCGAACTTGTGCTGCAGAGGCTGCGGATTGCTTCATAGTGCGGTACTTAACCCCTTGTGCTACCAGGGTGTCCCTAGTCCATTTACTTTCAATGTGTTTACTGACAAGGTAGGATATACATCTGCCATTGTGCTGTTTTCTGTATGTCTCAGACCTTTTTCTGCCTCCTCTACCATTACTGACTTCTGTATTAAATATAAAGGATTCCATTTCAATTCCTGTTTCTTTAGCTATATATATTTTTTTAATTTATCTTGGTAGTTGTTTATATTTATCTTAGTAGTTGCCCTGGGGTTACGATTAGCATCTTAAAATAATTTCATTTGAACTTAGTATCAATAGTACACAAAACTTTAGTCCAGCACATGTCCACTCCCTCCTCTTTTCTTTGTGGTAATATCGCCATACAAATTACATCTTTATGTAATAACATGCCCACTAACATAGAGTTTTGTAATTATTGCTTTATATGGTTGTCTAATGAAACAAGAAAATAAGAGTTATAAATAAAAGTACATTTATACTGTCTTTTGTATATGCCTATATAGTTACATTTACCCTTACTCTTTCTTTCTTCCAAAGGACTCAGTTTCTATGGTGCCCTTTCATTATAACTGGAAAGTCCCCTTTGGTATTTCTTGTAGAGTAGGTCTGTTGATGACACATTCTCTCAGTGTTTACTTGGGAATGTCTTAAATTCCCCTCCACTTTTTTTTTTTTTTTTTTAAGATTTATAGGCAGATGCATGGGAGGATGAGAGGATTCACCAGAGACAGAGTGGGGAGCAGAACAGGCAGACTGACTGAAATACACTGCTGTGGGGAGCAGCGGGCGAGACAGGAGAGGTCTGCTGCGCCCTATGGGATTCTCGGCAGCCAGCTGGGATTGAACTTGCGCTGCAGAGGCTGCAGACAGCCTAACAGCGCTGCACTCAACCACCTGAGCCACCAGGGAGTCCTTCCCTCCACTTTTTATTTATTTTATTTAATTTATTTTTTTTAAGATTTATTTATTTATTTAATTATACAAGCACTGGGTACAGTCAGAAGCACGGGAGGGTGAGAGAATTCACCAGAGCCAGAGCGGGGAGCAGAGCAGGCAGAAGGACCGAAGTACACTGCTGAGGGGAGCAGCGGGCGGCAGGAGAGGTCTGCGCGCCATGTGGGACCCTCCTGCGGTGCCTGGGGAGCAGCCGGGGATCGAACCGGTGCTGCAGAGGCTGCGGGCAGCTTCGCAACCCAGCGCTCAACCGCTGCGCCACCGGGGAGGCCCAACCCTCCACTTTTTAAAGAAGACTTTCACTGGATATAAAATTCTTGTCTAACCATCTTTTCTTCCCTCACTTTGAACATGAAATCACATTATTCTTCTGGTGTCTATACGTCTCTGGTGACAAGTCACTTGTTAACCTTAGTAAGTTGTTTTCCTCTTGCTGCTTTGAACATTTTCCGTTTGTCAACTTAATCATGGGATGCCTTCCTGCGGATTTCTCTGACTTTGTTACTTGGAGTTCACTGAGTAGTTTATTATGCTGATTAATAATTTTCATAAAATTTTAGTTGCTTTTAGCCATTATTTCTTGGAATATTCTTTCTCCTTTCTCTTCTCCCGACACTCCTGTATGTGTATATTATTAGGATTGAAGGTGTCCTGCCAGTTTCTAAGCTTTGTTCACTTTTTGTACATTCTTTTTCCTTCACCTCAAACTAGGTAATCTCTATTGAGCCCTCTTCATGTTCACTGATTCTTTCTTCTGTCAGCTCAGATTGTTGTGGGACACCAAGTTCATTGAAGTTCTTATTGCCACTCTAGAAGCCCATCTCTAGAGGAGCTCTTTTTCAGTTGAAATTGAGGGAGAAGGGTATTTTCCTGCCTTAAATGCTAGAACTCATTTCCCAGAATCAAATTGGAAAACTGGTAATAAAAGTTACTATATCAGCAGTTATTCCATTAAACCTCTTTAACCAATTTTGCCTGGCTCAAGCTGCTAGCCCTCGAATATATGACTTTAATCCAGGGTTTACTCAGTGGAATCATGTTAGTTCCACCTCATTTAATACTCTAGTAACTAGAACTCCAGCTGTGACTCAAGATAGCTTATGCTACAGTGTGAAAGTACTTACGCTGTAGTGTGAAAATTTAGATTTACGTACAGCTATGAAATATGCTCATGTGTTAAATGTTTCTCTTTCAGGTATTCTGGTATATCTGTCTAGTCTTTATGACCATCAGTCTCTGACTGTACACACCGAGTTTTATTTTTCACCAAAATGTCTAGCAAATACCCAAATATACCTTCAGTTTAGAGATACTTATTTCTCAATTAAGCAAGGTTCTGATGGAGAAAGTAAAAGTCACCAAGTTCAAAGGATTCTTGCCTAATGCTTCAAATATAATGACTTTTATGTTTCTAAAATGCTACTAATGACCTAATATCTACAGGCATAATGGGTTTTTTTTTTTAAAGGTTTATGCAGTCTTGAAGTTCATATTCTTTTTTTTTTTAATGAGTTTTTTTTTTTTAAGATTTATTTATTTTTATTTATACAAGCACTGGGTACAGTCAGAAGTGCGGGAAGGTGAGAGAATTCACCAGAGCCAGAGTGGGGAGCAAAGCAGGCAGAAGGACCGAAGTACACCGCTGAGGGGAGCAGCGGGTCGGCAGGAGAGGTCTGCGCATACAGGCATAGTGTTTTAACCCTTAAAGCAACACTATAAAATAGGTGTTGTCTACATTTTATAGATAAGCTTAGAGGAAGTTCAAAGAAATTAAAGTTGTGATCAAGAGTACACAAATAGTAAATGGAAGAATCAGGTTGACAATTCAGATATTACTCCTGTGTCACTGCTATCATGAGAAACGTTACTACCTCTCCTCAGTAGAGTCTGTGGATAAATACATACATACAACCTCCCTGACCCCACCACCTGGGAAGTCCTCCCTTCCCCCAGTCACATAGGAGGAAGGTTTTCTTTCTTGCATCAACCTTCTTATTTGCACCCTTAGTGATCACTCAGGATCTCAGGATCCAGGCTGCTCTCCTCCTCTGACCCTCAGGTCCCAGCCTTGTGTATAAGGCGCTCCAGAGATGAAGCTGGCAGGTCGTCACACCCCCTCTCGTGAGTCTGTCCTGCAGCAGAGTCCTCTTAGTCCACCACACTCTCACAGACGCTGTCTTTACTTTCTGGCTCCGGTAATTTAGCATTTCCAAGGAGTAATTAGGAAAACCCCCAGAGCTCACCAGGCTGTGAGACCAAAGTGTGACTATATGTTCAGTTTGAAAAAAACGGTTACCAACTCATCTAGTCTTATGAGATCTGAAATCTACCTAAATTTGTAAGGGAGAAGTATTTTGGGTGTGAGGTCATAACTTAGGGTAGAAATGGACAGGTATCATTTTAACATTTATTTGACTTTCTCTCATAGCTGGTATATGAATTCTTCCTAAGATTCTTGGAGAGCCCTGACTTCCAGCCTAGCATTGCAAAGCGATACATTGATCAGAAATTTGTACAACAGGTAAGGGACTCTTCCGTCTTAAATGTTCTCTGGTTCATCTTATCAGTGATATATTAGCTTGCGATTAAAATAGACTTCCAGAATTATCATGGGTTATTTCAGTGTAACAGTACTTAATACTTAACAATGAGGATAAAAGTGAAGTAGCTTTGAGGATAGTTTTTTTTATCAAGAGAGAGCTCCTAATGAAGTCAAATTATCCTACCCAGTCCTAAATGCTCTCTTATTTTGGCGAGACCAGAAAAGCAAGCCTTTTTACAGTATCTGAGAAATACTGCCGTGACCATTGAGTCTGCAGACAAACCTTTACTTATAAGTCTTTGAACGTGAGTTGGGTTTTAAGCATCTAACTTTGAAATGACAGTGGAAGGCTGGAACAAGCCATTGAGAGAGTTTGGGCTTCCGGTTTGTCTCCTGCCATCAAGTATCAGTTATTCTTTCCCCTTTCTCTTCTTTTCCCTTTCCCCTTTCTCTTCTTTCCCCTTCCCACCTTCAGCCTTTGAACCACCCGGTTCCTAAGGCACAGACAAGATGGGCCCTTTTGCAAGAAAAGAGATAGTTAAACATACAGGATACCTTCTTTCTTTTTATAAATTTGTTTTTAGCTGATATTTTGGGAACCTGCATACTCAGAATTAATTTATCAGAACATGTACGTTGTGTTTTCAAAATCTTTTCAACCATTAAAAGCTCTCTGTTTAACTTTGGAGTTTTCTGGCCAGATATCACATTGTGACAGCAGGTTCACATTCCCTCTGGAAACGCCTTCAGTGTATGGGGTCTCGCCAGGACCCAAATGCTCCACATCAGCCACGTCCTGGAGGTGGCAGGCGGAAGTGAGGGGCAGGCCCACGTCACCACAAGGATCCCCCTGCCCACTCAGCCGCCTGTGTCCCCAGTGTCGGGGTCCACAGAACCTGCAGGGGCTCAAACAGGGCACATTTGTGGCAGGCGAGTTAACATAAAATGTGCATTTCGGTCATGAGTAAAATTCAGCCCTATGAATGGAGTTGCACAGTTCTGGTGACTAGGCCATAGTGTGCCTATTCTGCCTGCAGCTCTTCGAGGGGTAGATGAGGTGCCTTAGCCACTTAGACAGCAGCCGCCTTGGGCCCTGCAGTCGCTGGTTTGAGGTGTTTTGGCTGCTGGGTGACTCCGTGGGTTTGGCAGGAAGCAGATTGGTGAGGAGGGACCCACTTGCCACTTTCTGCTCCACCCACCACTTCTCGGGGCGCTGGTGTGCTCAGCAGTATGCACAGGGATGCTCTGCTCTGGTGTTTTTAATTATTTGGTGAGGTGGTAAGTTTTAAGGCTGAGAATGGACGTTCATTTTTCAAGAAAAGAAAACAATGACGTAATTCTGGGTTATATTCCAATCGTGGAGTTGTGGAACAAAGTTAAGAATGAGCGAGTGCTGGTTACATGTCGGGCGCCATCCTTACTTACAGGCTCTAATGTGAAAGCTGGACGTGGCCAGGCCACCCGGGTGGGGCGTGGCACGTTGAGCTGGACTTACACGTTGGCCTCGCCACCTCCTCGCAAAAAGAGCAACTGCTCTCCACGCTCACTTTATTGATGGAGACTCAGAGGTGATGGGGTCCCCTTAAAGTGAGATCTAAGTATCAGCCAAACAAGAGATCTGCCTCCTCTGTAAGCAGCGTCTCTCACACGCAAGGCTGGCTGTGCCTTGTAGCAAGAGGCCTGCACCTAGAGGGCCAGACACCTGCCGAGACTGGCCTCTGCTGTCATACGTCCCTGGGACCGATTTATGTTAAATTACACTTGTTCTTGAATTAGACATGATGACCTGAACATCGAATTGGAAAGCACAGCTTCCAGGGAAGGCTGACGTCAGAACCGTGGGCTCAAGTGTCTCCGGAGAGAGTAGTGTAGCCGTTTTTAATTAGCATAATTTGAACTGAATTATTAGGTACAGCAGCATAAGCATTCTTCCTTCCTGTTTCCCACTGGTGCCTCACTCAGCGCCTGACCCACCCCATGAGCAAGGAATGCAGGCCCAGCAGACGCACATGCACGTTCAAGGGTTGGTAGTGCTCGAGTGGACGTGGGTAGTCCCGGCCTCCAAAGCCTGTGTGCTGAGGCCATAACGCAGCAGGCAGGACACCAGCTCCCCCACAGCTTCTATAAAGAGGGGTGCTTTTATATTTGTTCCTAAGAAACCCAGTGTTTGATTTAAAACATGGTAATACTTTTTTTGACAGAAGAAATTCAGTTTTTCATTGGAAAAAAAATGGTAATTTGAGCCCTTTAAGTTCTTCAAAGATCACTTTGTCCTGCCTTTGCTAAAGAGTTTTTTTAGGGAAAAGAAATAAAAGTTTTGTAGGGGTATAGGATCCTGTTGACTTGACCAGTTTGAACTGGCTTAAAATTCTTCAGCCATTTGCCAAGTTGACTGAATAATAGAACTCTTGCACCTGTCCGTTATTTCAGTATTACTTCATGAATGATTTAAATCTAGTAGCATGTGTCTGCCAGTATTTTATCTTACCAACTAAAAACTTATTTTTAAGCTGTTGGCATGGTGACTAAATTTTTAAATGTGAAATCACCTAAGAAGCTTGGTTTATGTAGATCATTCTAGATTATAATAAAACATTTACACACATTTCTAAATTTCATATAAGGGTTTGTAATCTGTAAGCTTAAAGTTCTGCATGTAGTTTTGACTGTCTTTAAAAAAGTTTTAAAAATTAAATTTCAACTAATGATACAAGTTAGGTTTTGTAGTCAAGAATAAGTTAGAATTTTAAAGTGTGTGTCAAGGCAAAAAAAAAGATTCCAGTTTTTGAAGTATTATCATGCCAGTGTTTATCATTTTTTGGAATGAAACAAGTGAAAGCATTCCCTAAATTTTTGCAAGAAAAATCAGTGTAAGAATATTTAAGTGCTTCGTAAGATTTCATGGGCTATCTTAAGATAAAAATCAGAATAATATGAAGTTTTAGCTCGATTATTTTTTAAAAGTAATTTCTCAGATTTTTTTTAAAGCTCCTGGAGCTTTTTGATAGTGAAGACCCCAGAGAACGTGACTTCCTGAAGACTGTTCTGCATCGAATTTATGGGAAGTTCCTTGGATTAAGAGCGTTCATCAGAAAACAAATCAACAACATTTTCCTCAGGTAAATGGGTCAAATATTCATTCATATGTAGTGCTCACCCCTCCACCCACCCGCAACATTTTTATTCTAGTTCCTGTAGATTAATTTTTAGTGTCTGGAACCTTCATATTCAGTGAGCAACACTTGGTCATTGTTTGCCTATACTGTGGGCAGCTGATTGCAGCTGACACTTCAGACCCTTGTTGTCCGAGTGCACAGCAATGAAGACAGTTTTTTTTTTTTTTTTAAGATTTATATATTTATACAAGAAACAGGGTACAGGCCAGATTCACAGGAGGGTGAGAGGATTCACCAGAGACAGAGTGGGGAACAGAACAGGCAGACTGACAAAATACACTGATGAGGGGAGCAACGGGCACGACAGGAGAGGTCTGCCGCCCCACGTGGGACCCTCGCTGGCCAGCCAGGATTGAACCGGCACTGCAGAGGCTGCGGACGGCTTCACAGCGCTGTGCTCAACCACCTGTGCCACCAGGGGAGGCCCTGAAGACAGTTCTTTATAAGTCGTGCCAGTGTTTCTCATGCTTAAATTTGAGAGAATTTCTCTAGCAATTTCTCTGAGCTATTTTAAAAAATTGTGTATAAGTATCATTTAAATCAATAGCTCTTAGAAGTACTTTCATCTGATTTTTTGACAAAGCTAATTACTTGGGGCCCATCTTTTGACTCCTTTATAAATGTTAATCTGTTAAGTAATAGCTTCAAAACAGATTTCATATCATAGTAACACCCATATTTCAAGGTTGGTTGGTTGGTTGAATTGAAGACCTGGCATTCCAAATTATAAAAATTGGGGTGAGTAATGGCTGTTCCTCCTAGAGAGAGCCTCTCCTCCGGGTCCACTGCCCCTCCTGAGCCACGTCAGGAGGGACGTGCCTTGTGTCCTGGAGTCCTCATGACTCCACTTAGGGCACACCCAGCTGTGGGGGGCCAGGCAATCTGTGTCCATGGAGCCGGGAGCAATTACGAATAAAAGCAACTTTCCCATATACAGGTCAGTTTGGATCTTCCTATGAGCAGAAGTTCATTTCAAAAAACTTTGAGAAAACCATCTTCTATATTCTTTTTTTTTTTTTTTTTTTTTATTTATTTATTTGTTTGTTCATTTGTTTTTGTTTATACATGCACTGGGTACAGTCAGAAGCGCGGGAGGGTGAGAGAATTCACCAGAGCCAGAGCGGGGAGCAGAACAGGCAGAAGGACCGAAGTACACTGCTGAGGGGAGCAGCGGGTGGCAGGAGAGGTCTGCGCACCATGTGGGACCCTCCTCCAGTGGCCGGGGAGCAGCCGGGAATCGAACCGGCGCCATAGGGGCTGCGGGCAGCTTCGCAACCCAGCGCTCTACCGCTGCGCCACCGGGGAGGCCCTCATCTTCTATATTCTTAAGTGAAATAAAAATCACTTTATTTTATGGCTGTGAGGTGATAGTTTGGGCTGAGCTGCTTACAGAGAAGCCCTAAGTGTGCTCGTGCTTCTCTTCCATGGTTTGTCTGCCCATTGGGCTGGTTTCTTTACCTTCTTTCTGTCAGTTTAGTCTTGTGATGCTTCATTCCACCTATCTTTATTTTAAATTCAGGTTTATATATGAAACAGAACATTTCAATGGTGTTGCTGAACTCCTTGAAATATTAGGAAGGTAGGTCATTGATTTTTTTTTAACTATTTTATGTATTAAAATCTTAGCTGCGGTTGGAAAAACTAATATTTTAGTGTTTAAATACAGGCTGAAGACAGTTTCTCAGCCGTGCCCTCCCTGTGGCTCTGTAGGGGCCTGCTGCCTGTCAGCAGCCCAGCACAGCCTCCCCACTTCTGAGGCTGCACCTTCTGCTGGCCTGGCCAGACCACCCCAAAAGTTGCAGGGCCTCACTGGGGAGCAATGACATAAGCTGCAGTGGGTCCCCTGTTCAGAAGTGGACACCCCAGGCCTCATTCATGTGCTGCTTCCTGAGACGCTGTGGCCTCTGGTTTTAGTTTGCACGAGCATCTGCCTGCCTGGTTCCCCACCAGCATGTCTGCTTGAGACAGGGCCCACTGTTCACAGGGTGATCTTAGTCTCCTGTGCTGCTTGAAGAGTGAGTGTGGAGAGAACCACTCTTATTTTTTTAAAAGATTTATTTATTTATACAAGCACTTGGTACAGTCAGAAGCACGGGAGGATGAAAGAATTCACCAGAGCCAGAGCAGGGAACAGAACAGGCAGACTGATGAAACACACTGCTGAGGGGAGCAGCAGGAGAGGTCTGTTGTGCCATGTGGGACCCTAGCCAGCGGCCGGAGACTGAACCGGTGCTGCAGAGGCTGTGGGCAGCTTTGCAGCCCAGCGCTCAACCACTGGGCCACCAGGGGAGGCCCGAGAACCACTCTTAATTCCTGAGCTTGTCATCAAGAGACTTTCCACGTTTACCCCAGAAACTCTTCTGGTGGCCTTGCAGAATAGGAGAATTCTGACAGTGTGACGAGCTCAGTGTCACGCCCTTGGGGAGAGGAGGAGGGAGGAGCAACACCCAGACCAGCTGCAGGACAGGCTTCCCAGAGGCGAGCCACCCTGTCTCCCTGGGGCCTTGGCCTGCGGCTCGGGCTCTGTGGTGCTGCTCTGTCTGGCCGAGGCTTGCAGAGGCACCTTTGATGTGGGGCACAAGCAGAGCTGACCCTTTCTTTTGTTGTAGTGGGTGGAGTAACTTTGGGAAGTCAAGTAGCCACTACTTAACCCTTCCCCTACCTTTTTTTCCCTCCAGTATTATCAATGGCTTTGCATTGCCACTGAAAGCAGAACATAAACAATTTCTAATGAAGGTTCTTATTCCTATGCATACTGCGAAAGGATTAGCGCTGTTCCATGCACAGGTACGTCTCGGGAAGTCTTCAAATGAAATAAATGACGTATAAAGACAGAGCAAGGGAGGTAGCGAGGGCAGTTGTAAGTACAAACAGGCATGAGGTATCAGTTACTGACCAAGTTCAGGCAGCGGACATGAGTTCAGCTGTAGGAGAGAAGGGCCGAGTCCCTTCTCATCCAGCGTGGCCGAAGCCACACTGCAATGGGCTGGTGGGTCAGCTGGTGGGTCAGGTCATAGGCCACCAGGCAGCAGTAGCAGCCCGCCTGCAGCAGCCCCAGTCAGGAGACAGGGTCATCTCTGCCCTTACTAGAGACTGTCCAGGAAAAAGGCACTGAGGCCTAAACATGGGGTGAAGTCAGTCAGCTGCATGTGCAGAAGTTGCTGCTGAGAAACTTTTTGAAACCAGGAGTTAGTTTCAGGGGTAACAATGATGCACGAATTGTTGTTTATGGGTGAGATGAGCTAATCAACTAGCCGCTTTTGTCTCCTCTGGGCCTTGCTCTGGGTGACGGTGACATGCCTTGGTTTCAGCTGGCCTACTGCGTCGTCCAGTTCCTGGAGAAGGACACCACCCTAACGGAGCCGGTGAGTGCCCCCACATCCCCACCTGGCTACCATTTCACGCAAACCTTAAGTATTTCCTGCGAATCTTATTCCCTGTGGATGCTTGTTTTTGCCATGAAGGCATCCTTACCTTTCATCATTACGCAGTTTTATTTTTATAAAGGTACTGTCTTTAACATTGACCTGGCCACATACTGAGTTTTCCAGCTTGTAAGGGGTGTGCGTAGACATACTCTGCACAAGCACGTAGACATACTCTGCACAAGCACGCTGACTGGCATTCCTTCCTGGTTTTAAATGTAAATGAGTATTTATGGGACCAGGCCAGCAATTTAAAGTAGCTTACAAGGCCGCTGAAGGTCTGTTTCCATGAAAGCACCAGGCCCAGATGGTTTTCCAGCCTATTCCCATGAAAGCGTGTGATTATCTGGTCGTTTTCCATGTAAATTCTTAGTTTTAGGTCATTCAACATTTACCAGGATGTAGCCCCAGAAAATAGTCCAAAATTGTTCAAAATCTCCTGAGAAAAGTTATTCCCGCCAGCACTGATGGCTGACCACCCTGAAGCAGCTACGGCTGGGTGTGTCTACCCTGTACATTGCATTTAATACAGAATTTGCAGTTTTTCATTTGGCTCATGATCCCTTTTTGGTTTCTAAGATTGTGCTAACCACACATGGGAAGCTTTCTGGCTTATTTGTGCTTCGTAATGGTTAAAGATGTCTCTGGTCCTTGATTTCCCCCTAAAATAACCTCCACTTCACCCACCAAGTCACATTTTTGTTAATTTCTTTGCAGTCAGTAGCACTCCCTGTTAAATTGGTTTTGTCGCATCGCTAATTCCTTGTGCCCCAGCAGCGTCCCACAGGGGCAGGATCTGGGCTGCACCAGTCAGTCTCCCTGTGGGCTTGGTGGGTGAGCGTGTCCTGTCCCAACGAGGCTGCACTTGCTTTAGTCATGCTCAGTATCTCCTCCCTTGCAGGTGATCCGAGGATTGCTGAAGTTTTGGCCGAAAACGTGCAGTCAGAAAGAGGTGGGCGCTGCTCGCTGTGCAGGGCAGAGTGCAGGTCACTGTGCTCCTTCCTGTGTGTCCCGCCTTGCCCCCACAACTCTCCCCCAACCCCTCTCCCCAGCCCTGCTCTCCCTCCCCCATCCCCCTCTCCCACCTTCCTTGTACCCCTTCACCTCTCCCCCATATCCCCTCTCCCTTCCCTCTCCTCTTCCCATCCCTCTCCTTAACCTCCTCTCCCCCCTTTCCCTCCCCCTTAGCCTCCCTATACCCCTTTCTCCTACTTCTCCCCCACCCCTCACCACCCTCTGCCTCCCCCTAGGCCCCCTCCCATCCCTCACCTTTCCCCTCTTCCCACACCTCCTCTCCGGCTCCTGCTCCCCCAAATCTCTCTCCCCACTTCCTCCCCTCTCCCCCACTGCTCCACAGGGAACCTGCCCTGGCCACCCACAGCTGGCAGAGGAACCTGCAGCTGGCAGAGGAACCAGAGAAGCTGTCATGTTTTTTAAGAGATTTTTTTTTGACCTAGGTGATGTTTTTAGGAGAAATTGAGGAAATCCTAGATGTCATTGAACCAACACAATTCAAGAAAATCGAGGAGCCCCTTTTCAAACAAATCTCCAAGTGTGTGTCCAGCTCCCACTTTCAGGTACAGGCCGCCGGCGAGTCGCTCTGTCTGCACCTTTGTCTTTTCTCTTTCAGCTTTCACATTTCTAAATGTCTGTTTCAGGTTGCAGAGAGAGCACTGTACTTCTGGAACAATGAATATATTCTTAGTTTGATTGAAGAGAATATTGATAAAATTCTGCCAATTATGTTTGCCAGCTTGTACAAAATTTCCAAAGAGCACTGGAATCAGTAAGTGTCTTTTCTAAACCTGTCCCTTGACCTACTAACTCACAGATGCGGAATTTATCCCAAGGTGAACGTCACAGTCTGTGAGGTGGAGAGTACCCGACTGTCTTAACTTCAGCTGAAACGGGAGGTCGCCTTGACCCCCGTCAGCGTATTTGGCTGACACGGGTGGGGTTGGGGTCACTGGGCAGAGGGAGGATTCACCAGGCCAGGGAGGGGAGCCGCCGCAGGTCGGGCGGCTCATGCACTGGGCAGCCTCCCCTGCAGGGCCTGTCCCTAGAAGCTGCGGCACCCATGGCCTCGTCCACTCTCCATCCTCCACCTTATGAGCCCCGCGAGCTGGGTCTCCTTTGCCTGCCCAGGCTGCAGCTCAGCATTTGAGGTGGCAGCACAGGACACAGGATCTTCGTACCTGAGTACACAAATGCCGGCGCGGTGGGGTGGCCACCTTCCCCCACTGGCCACAGCGTTGCAAACGCAGGGCTGGCGAACCAGCAGTTCTTGGTTGCGTGCTGGCAGAGGCTGCCCCTCCCTCACTGACCGGCGCCGGTTTCGATTTCAGGACTATCGTGGCGCTGGTGTACAACGTGCTGAAGACGCTGATGGAGATGGACGGCAAGCTCTTCGATGACCTCACCAGCTCATACAAAGCAGAGCGACAAAGGTATGACCACAAGGCCCTCAGTCGGGTTGTAATGCTGAGTCGGTCCGGGATGTGCGACCTGCACATGTCCAGGTCACTCCCAGGTGACGTCTGAGGTTAACGACTGTCGATTTCATTCTAAGCCTTAAGGCTTTGTCAGCTGGAAGCAGCTGCCGCGTGAGACAGAATCTGATTTCATCTGTTGTGTCCACTCACTCCACGGGTGGAGAGGTTCTAAGATGCGCGTGTCGTGCAGTGACACTGTGTCCCCGTCCTTCCTGCAGGAAGGGGGGCTCCTAATGAGACACCCATGGCTCAGCACAAGCACGACAAAAACCACTCCTACTGTCCAAGAAATTCAGGAGTTTGGGGTGCCTCGTGTGAGGAACTGGGGCCGGCGTGTAGTTTTTATCTTGCACACCTCGTTTGGAATAGCTGAGCTTTCATCAGCACGTGGCTGGTCTGAAGGAGAAGAGAACAAGGAAAGCGGCTCCGGCAGATGCGGGCGGGGCTTAAAGGCCAAGAGCAAGGGGTGTTTGCTGAGCAAGGGGTGTTCCTTTATGGGATCAGTCATCACCTTGGGGTCATGTTGGGGCAGTCTAAGACTGAGAATACCTGCTGACCTGATTCCTCACATTCCTGGAAACATCCATGGCCAGGTTTAATTTAAGGTTCATTAACCTTCTGTACCTCCACCTCTCGTGTCTGCCCTGTGAGTCCTTCCATCCACCACCCACTCCCGGCAGCCCCCGCCCAGACCCAGCCCCAAATCTTCTGGGGGTCTTGAAGGGAGGAGGTCCATCTTCTGTAACTGCTTCAGGCTGGCATAGGACGTAGAGCTCTGTCCCTACTGGAGGGGCCTGGGATATAGTCTCCCCGATACTAGTCCCTGAACCGACAGGCGATTGGTCCCTAATGCTGGTTCTGGAAGGTGGTGTAGGCAGAGCCCAAGAGGTGGGGGGTGTCAGCAGCTGCTGTGTCTCTTGGAGGAGTTGGAATTTAATTGCCTCTAAACAAGAAGAAACAAATTTAACAATGAAATGGACTAGCCAAGGTCCCAAGAGTGAAACACAGCTTGGCCGGTGGGTTCCAGGGGAGGCAGGCACAGTCTTGGGCAGGCTAGCAGGCTTTTGATGGACATTCCCGTCCACTCTGGCTAATGTAACGACATGCGCCCTCTAGATAAGGTGTGTTCCCCTGGAGACAGCCCATTTCTTAGGTGCCGTGTGACCAAGAGGAGTGCAGAAGGGGTACTGGTTTCCAGCAAAGAGGAGCTGCGTCAAGGCACCTGGTGGGGACCCATAGGGAAGGGGCAGAAGGGGCCAGACAAGTCTGGAAGGAAAAGAGAAAAATGAAAATCAAGGTCAAGGCTGCCATCGCTAACCTCCCCATGGGTCTCTGTCTCTTCCAAGTGTCTCCTTCCATGTCCCCAAGTCCCTAGTGCAAGTCCCAAGTCCAGTGTCCACTTCACAGGTTCAGACTGACCTATTTTAACTAAGATTCATAGTCATCATTTTCAGTACAACGTGAGGAAAGAGATCTCCCAAGCCTACTAATGCATCAGTAACTCGTTGCAATTTCTTTAAATAGCAGCTTCCAGGCAGGGATAGTACCTAGCTCCTGCACCAAGGCGCCAGGGCAAGGAAGTCATGTGAGGTGTCGGTGTTATCTGAGTCACATTTTCTAAGAATAACTTTCATGTCTTACCCTTTAAGTCAGCACCTGTGTCCCTTAAATCACACGTAACTGCAAAACTAAAGCCCAGGTGCACGCAGCCCTACAGCAGACTCTGGTCCAAAGAGAAATGTTTTCCTTAGAATTGACATTAATCGACTATATTAAAAACTTAGCTTGTTCTAAAGAGCCATTGTTCCAACTTTAGTTTTCATCTGACGTGTGGGGTCTGTGTGGGGAGACAGCCAGCGCCGGGGCTCAGCCCTTGTCTGCACGGTGGGTGTGGACCTGGCCTGGCCGGCAGAGCACAGCTGGAGGTGGAGGGTGGGGAAAAGCACGCAGGACTCATGGTCAGTGCCAGGGACACGCAGGCGTCATGGCCCCACTGTGCTCAGGACCCGGCCATGGAGGCCTCCATTGGGTCTAAGTAAATGTGGACATGGCGCCAAATAATAGCGCCTCCTCCAGGTTCTACAAGAGAGGGTCTGACTGCAAAAATTTTGGTTTGCCTACAGAGAGAAAAAGAAGGAATTGGAACGTGAAGAACTGTGGAAAAAATTGGAGGAGCTAAAGCTGAAGAAAGCTCTGGAAAAGCAGAACAGCGGCTACAATAGCATCCTCAACAACACAAACGCCGAGTAAGGGCCCCCGCGCAGGACTGGCAGTTTTGTACGCTCTTGTGGAATATGTAAACATTACGAGACAAACCTCATCAGTATAATTAAAAGGCCAATTTTTTCCTGGCAATTGTAAATGACAGCCTGGACTAGACGCAGCCCTGTGCTGCTCACAGCCTCCGTGTGGTAACCCTGGTCTATCATTGATCCTCTGTCACTTCTGGAGTCGCACAGAAATGAACCTTAACATCCATGAGCAAGATAATTATGGGAGTGGTAAGAATTATGACTTGAATTCTTTGATTGTGTTGCACATAGAGTAGTTGCTCTGTATATTTTTCCCTTTTATAATGTGCTTTCACATGCTGCAGACCTTAGTTACATCCTGGGAGTCTCTCCTGAATCAGCGCTCAGGGAGAGCCTTCCCTTTCCCGTGGCCTCTCCCAGATTCCATGGGGCCTCCCTCAGTAGTGGTATTGCCATACTCTGGAATTTGAGCAAAACACTTAAATATCCAGGCTCTTCAAAGCACAAATATAGAAATAAAAGCTGGGAAAGTAAACCAAAATTCTTCATTGTCCCTCTGGACACCCCCTGCCTGCGCCACTCCAGTGAGAAGCCCCGGCCTGCCCTGGTGCATTCCGCCAGAGTCGGGCTGTGGGCCACCCGCGTCAGGCTACCATTCCAGTCTTCACATGCAGCCGCGTGGAAACTTTTGTAACAAAGAACCTCACTGGGGGTGGCGCAGCGTTTAATAAAGTCTACGTTTGTATTTGCCTTAAGTGGTCCTCGCTCCTTTTCAGAAGCCGGTCCCCCAACGCACATAGGCTGGTGTCTAGCGGGAAACCTCAAGGCCTGAGATGGCAGGTTGGGATTGGGAGAGCAGGCACCACCAACCCCAGTGGGCTGTCCTGCGGCTCTGGTATCTCCTGAGGACTCTGTCCCCGCCTGTGCCGCTCTGTGCAGGGGACAGGCTTGAATGGACACTACCATGAAGTAGGCGCCGGAGGATAAGCCTCCCCTCAGAGTTAAGCACCCTCTGTGGAGGCTGGGAGCCAGTGGGGGAGTCAGGGCACCCTACAGGAAAGCAACCCAGCTGACCCCCAGCCATTAATTTGGCCCAGCACCGTGCACCTGCGGGGTCCCCGAGAGTGCACACCCCTTGCCACACACCTGCAGGCTCCCCGAGAGCGCACGGGAGCAGTGCGCCCGTCTGTACCCAAGTCACCAGTGCTGCCATGGAAACACCTGCCTGGTCTGGCAGGCCGAGGCCATCCCAAAGCTGCTCCCGCCAACTTGGGGCCCCAGGATCCCAAAGTGAGCACAGCTCGCTCACAGGTCACCAGCACCTGCCTGAGCCCCTCCCTGGACACAGGCCGACATACCTGGGCATTGGCTCCACTGCTGCAGGGCTCAGCCACGCTCCTCAGTCTACAGGTCCCAGGATGGCAACCAGGTCCCACCATGCTCGGGGAGCCACTTTCACTGCCCCGCGGGGGGGCTCCAGCGCCTTCAGCCGCTTCTGCCGGCTGATACTTGGTTCTCCAACCCGTGTGAGCAGGTCTCCAGCCACACACAGGCAGCCCTCAGCCAAGAAACTTAACGCCCCTGAGAGCTTTAAAAAGTCTCATTTACTGTTGAGCAACAGAAGCTGGACAGGGGGGTGGCTAGGGTATGTGGGCTCGCCTCTCTGTGTCCAGGGTTGGGGGAACGCAGTCACGCTGTCTACTTAGCCTAAGGAAGGCCGGGCAGTCGCTGTCGGCAGCCACCTCCACTCTGCCGAACCACAAGGCACATCACAGATCCGGAGACCTCACCGTGGCCCAGCATGTCCCACGGGCCACCACGGCTCTGGACAGGCTCTACAGGCACATGAATAATTTAAATACTTAAATAACTTGGGCGTCATCCCGGGGCCCCACAGCCGTGGCCTCACCAGGCTCAGGTACAGCAAATGGCTGGGCCCAGCGGCAGCAGCATCCCAACACCTGACAGCTGTGCCTTGACACATAGCACGGCCAGAGGGTGGGTCCAGGGGCCATGCCCGCCTGCCTCAGCTGATGTGGTTGGCGGCCTGGCCTCTCTTCTTCAGGTACCGCTTCCGAATCTTGATCATCCATTTCACGCTCAGTTTGGCGAACTCAGCAGCTTTGAACAAGGCCAGGAAGGCCCCACAGAGCAGAGCAATGGTGTTCCAGGGGTTGGCCGTGATGATCTGAAAGCAAACACGAGGGCTTGGGGCCTCGGCCTCACCTCTTGGGTTGCCCATGGGGTTACTGTCAAGAGAACCCAAATTCCCCTAACTGCACTTCTTTCAGATGCAACCCCCAGCGCCCACAGGCCGGCATCGAGACAACAGTCCCCCCCTCTGCCACCTCCCCACTCCCGCACTCTGCAAGGAAAGGGCCGCCCCCAGTGCCCCTCCACGAGTGACCCTATTTAGGACAAATTTCCCCAGGACTACCCAATCCACAAGGAGCTCAGTGCCCTGTCTGCACCCCACCACATACTTTTCAGGACCCTCCCAACACAGTCTCGTCCCTCCCACCCTCAACTCCAGACTGGCCTGTGACTGTTCCCCTGAGCCCCCCGCCTTCCCTGGCTTCTCTGACCCTAAGTGAACCCAGGAATCCTGCAGAGACACGCTTTCCAAGCCCGGAGCATGCTGATGCCCACTGCAGGCAAGCTTGAGGGTCCTGCTGCTGCAGCTACTCAGGACAGGGCGGCTGGGTGACGGCAGCCCCAGCACCGCCAGGATCTCATCTGCATCCAGGTGCAGAGCCGGTGGCCTCTGTGCCCCTTATCTGATTTCAGAGCCTCCGCACAGCCTGGCCCCAGCTGAGCATGCAGACCTTCCATGGGGCTCTAGCACTGGCCAGTGCCACGTGGACAGCGCTGGAGGTCAGCCATCCTGCCCCTTGGCCCACCGTGGCATTGTCACGCCCCCCGCGGCCCGAGCATTCGGCCTCCACAGGTGCTCAAGACACCTTCCCTGCGCCTCTGCCCTGGTGGTAGGTAACGAGACTGCACAGCAGCAGCGCCATAGCCTGCAGGGAGGAACTGCCTGTGTCCACCCATGAGGGGCACACGATCCTCTGGCCCACTGGCCTCTGCTGGATGCCAGATACAGGACAGGGCAGTCTGGCGGCCAACACAAGACCCAGTCAGACTGTCCAGCCTGACATCACCGCAGTAACTGCCATGAGCTGTGAAAGGCCACGGCCCGCCGGCTGGCACCATCTCCTCGGGCCATACTCACGTCCTGGACTTTCTGGATGAAGGGGTCTTTCCACTCAAAGACTACGAAGAACAGCTGTATGCTCCTCTCAGCGTCCGGCCTCTGGTCATTGTAGTTAACCACACTGGTCTAAGCGGAGAGGAGTGGGGTCAGGGCCTCCTGTCCCCCTGCACCCCAGAGGCCTACTTGGCCACCCGAGGGAGTACCGGGCCAGGGCTGCCCCTTGGGGGACGTGGGGGACGTGAGATGCACGGGCGGGGCTGGGACTGCCCAGGGGCCTGGTCTTCTGATTAAACCACAGCTAACACTATAAGACTCAAAAAGCCCCAAATGTCCAAATGCTTGACTAAGAGCTGAGCGTATCCACCCTCTGGACTACAGAGACAGGGGGCCACCTCACCCCAGGGGCACTCAGGAGGTGCGGGAAAGACCCGGGGCAGGCGGGCCCAGGCAGAAGGCCAGGCCAGTCCAGGGGGCCAGGCTGGTCTCAACAATGGCCGCCCACAAGAAGGCAGGAGTATAAGGCCCACCACCCTGAGGAGCCGAAGGCAGACTGGACTAGATCTGTGGATGCACCTCACACTTGAAATGAGACAAGATTTTCTCAGTGTTGTCAGGAATTCATCCCCTGCCCCAAGATGTCCCAAGTCGAGAGGACCCACAGGCCCCAAACACCCGCCAAAAGGCCGAGGTTCCCTGGGGTGTGGTGTCTGGCTTCGAACCACCCCACTGTGGAACTGTCCCCCCAGGGGCAGCCCCCCACCTGGTGGTCCTGTTGAGTCCCCTTCTGAGCCGCATGGGGCAGAGAAGGGACCTGCGTCCTTGGAGCCAAGCATGGAGCAAAGTCCAAGCAACAGCAGTTGACACAGGCACAGGCCCCGCCCGGGGACCATCCCTTCCTGGGGCAGGAGAAGCACCTAGACCCTGGGACAAAGCTGGCTTGCCACAGGCCCCGCAGCAGGCTTGGAGCCAGGGCGGGCAGTGGGAGGACAGCCCCGAGCAGAGTGCGTGGAGGTGGCAACCCCGAGGCCGGTGCAGCCACAGCCCTGACCAGGCAGCCACAGGCTCCCCACCTTCACAACCATCCTCCAGGGACCCCCCCCCCACCCTCCCAGATCTGGAGACCCCGGCGAGCTCCTCTGTAGGCAGAAGCTTTCTGAGCATGTGAACAAAGGTCTCCAACCTCAGATGCGACACGCAGGACTGTCACCGTCCCAATGGCCATGCAGTTCAAAGGCTCAAAACAGGACTCCCAGCGGCCTCAGGGTTGAGTCTCGAGCTGTCACCCTGAGGCCTGGGTTCAATCCTGGCCAGGAAGCTGACCCCCACAGTGCAGCAGACCTCTCCTGACTCCCCGCTGCTCCCCTCAGCAGTGGATTTCAGTGGATCCGCCTGTTCTGCTCCCCACTCTGTCACTGGTGAACCCCTCACCCCCCACACAACTGGCCTGTACCCCAGTTCTTCTAAACCAAAAAAAAAAAAAAAAAAAGCTTCAAATAAATAAAACACTCAAAAACAGAAAAAGAAATGAGAAGAGGAAAAAAAATGACCATAAAGGGAAGCAGGTCTTCCCCTGCACCCCAACATCCTGGCACGCCTGCCACTACTCAGAGACCCCCATTTCCATCTCCCACAGGCCACACAGCCTCTCTGGGCCTTGCACAGCTGGGGAGCACCTGCGCCCACACACACCCCGTGAGGACAGACATGGAGTCCAGCCAACCCCGGGGGCCCCTCTCATATCGACCCCGCTGAAGTCACCTTTCCAGAGCGGACATCCACCTACCTCCTGCCGGAACTCCACGGCCTCCCGCCCGTCCTCCTCCTTGGTCTTCACCAGGGACATCTTGACCCAGGTGCGGAAGCCCCCCGAGAACTTCCAGCTGGAGTAGGCGCTCTCACAGGCCTGCATGAAGTGTGCCCTGTTGGGGCTTGAAGGAGGGAGAATGGGGAGGGTCAGCCTGGCCCACAGCAGGCCCAGGCCACACCCTGCACCCCTCTGCTCCAGGCGGCAGCTGCTCCCCAACCCCCAGCCTGGACCTCGGTTTCCAAATGGAGGGACAGCTGTTGGGGCCGCAAACAGGGGCATGGTCCCTGAGAGCCCAATTGGGGGGACCCCTCCTCCCCTCACACCCAGAATAGCCAGCAGACGCCCCCAGCAGAGGCCTGAGGGCCTCATGGGCAAGTCAGCCTCCCTCTAGAAGGCCAAGTGGGAAGAGGGTTTCTTGTGGAGCACCCAAGCAGGAGGGACCGCACGGTATTTGCCCAGTGGAGCCGACGCGGCACATGAGCTCCCCGGGGGGGGGGGGGGGGGGGCGGGGGGCAGAAGGGAGAGAACACAAGCCCGTCAGGAGCTGGAGCAGTGGGGCATGGAATGGAGGCCCCGGTCACCCTCCAGTGGGTCTACCTCTCCATCCCCCAGGACAGCCCCCACTTTCCTTGAATGGGGCCTGGGGGCTCCAGGACCCCAATGAGCTCTGGCCTGGAGACGGCGCCCTAAGAGTCCATGTGAGGCACTCGTGTGGCAGACACCTCAGCCGGGAGCCCGTGGCAGCTGGGGGCGGGACTAGTCCCGGGATGCACACGGTCAAGGCCGAAGCCTCCTGTTTCCAGCACCCAGCAGGGCCCAACCAAACCTCCCCACCCCAGAGCCTCCGCAGGTTGTTGGAGAACCCCAAGGCATGCAGTGCTGAGACAAGGAAGACATAAAGGTCATGGCTAAAAAACTGATCAGCTCGGGTCGAAGGACTGGCCCCTGCACAGATTGGGGTGTTCTTTCTCTCGTCTGGGAAGCTATGTGTGGGGGACAAACTAGATTAGAAAAAGAAACAGAATAAACTGATGGCGCAGAACCTTGGTGGTGAGTGTGTGCCCGGACAAGGCCAAATGCTAAGAGAATACTTCATTGTCTAGTAACTAACCTGAGGTGGGTTTGGGGGGGCGGGGGGCTACTTGTATCAATAAAAATGAGTTGCACCAGCACTCAGGACGCTTGAGCACGCATGAAAGGCCTTGCGTCCCCTGGCTCCCGCTTAAACTCTATTTTGCGTCTGTCATTTCTTGGTAATTTCTACAGCTCAATCGGATTCCTCTCTCAACCCTGTTCACCGGAGCTGGACTCCGGCAGCAGGTGAGTCCCACGCCTTCTCCCCTACCCCCGACCCACGCTCCCTCAGACCCATGGGGCCCAGTGACCAAGCTTCCCAGCTAGCTGAGCTGGAGGCCCTTTACCAGGTCAGTCCCAGGGCCTGTGGCTCCTCTCCAGGATCTATGGATCCTCCCCAGGGCCTTTGGGTCTCCCCCTGGGTTTTGTGGATCCTCCCTGGAAACTGTGGGTCCTCCCCAGACCTCTGGGTCCTCCCTGGAGTTTGTAGCTCTTCTCTAGGGGCCTGTGGATCCTCGCGGGATCTGTGGATCCTCTGGGGTCTGTGGGTCCTCCCCGGGGCCCATAGGTGCACCCCACCCCAGAATGTGGCGGTTGGAAGAGTAGGGAGTGGGGGCAGGAAGGTACCTTTGCAGGAACTCCTGGAAGGAGGAGAAGAGCAGGTAGTCAATGGCGCTGAAGTCCTCGCTGCTCTGGTTCAGGCGGAACTGCAGGAAGACCAGCTCCCGCTTCTTCACCTCCCGGGGCCCCCGCACGACCAGCGCAGACTTCTGTGGGACCACGGCAGAGGCTCAGCCCCCAGGGGCCTGCCCCAACTCTTGGGCTCAGGTCTCCCTGCCAGAGCCAGCCCCTGCCCTGCCCAGCAGCTCTAGGGCGGCCCCTGTCGACACCAGGGCCAGCATGTGCCTGCGTCAGCCCTGCGTGCAGAAGGCCCGGCCCATCATGTCCCTGGGACTCGGCTCCCGGGCCGCTGGCACCAAAGCACTGAGGCTGGTGCAGCGACTTTGGTGAACCTTTTCTGGATGCCTCCTGGTCTGCCTTCAAAAGGAAAAACCAAGCAACACCCATATTCCCCAGTGCTGCCTCCTCCTATGTGTTTCACCTTTTCTGAACCCTGAGCCCTTTGGGCTGCTCTATGGGGGCAGGGGCCCAGGGTGGACTAGGCTGCAGGGTGGGGCTGGGTTGGACCTAATTGGTCCCAGGCAGCCCTGCCCCCTGAGTGCGGATCACTGTCTGCACCTCCCATCCTGAGTGGCCGCCACATAAGCCTGCCTGCTCCATGGCAGTTGGGGGCCGCGACACGAGCCGGTCCTGAACATGGACATCAGTCTGGGAAAGGCTTTCCATCGCCAGCTTTATAAATGCTCCCCAGAGAGCCAGTGGGGTATGCACACCCTGGATGCACTTGCTGGTCACTCAGCTGACATGTCTCACCAATAACAGGTTTGACTTAAGCCATGCGAGGTGGTGCTGGTACGCGAGGCGGTGCTGGTGTGCGAGATGCCATGGGCTGCTGAGTCGCCCTGGAGCGGAGACCAGGCTGGGGGGGGAGGGGGCGGGTGGTACTTACCAGCGTCTGGTTGGAGAAGGGGTCGGTGTAGTTGACCCTCTGCGTGGTGCAGCTCACGTCGCCTGGCTGCCCAGGGCTCCTCAGGGGAGGGATGACCTCGTAGTGGTGCTCACAGCTAAGCAGCTGTGCCCGGCCAGGGTACAAGGCGATTCCTGGGGCCAGCAGGGAGAACGAAGGTCACATCACCATCCCTGAACCCCCCCAAATCATGTCCCCTGCATGTCTCACACACACCCCGCCCCAGGCCAGGACTTATGGGGAGACGGAGGATGAGGGCCACCTCTGCTCTCGGAAGCCAGGTTCCCATAGGGCAGGGGAGACCTTCAAACCTCCTGGTGAACCCCACTCCAGCCTGGGATGCAGCCTTCCCAGCACCAGACCCCTGGGAATCCCACTGGGAACTCCCACACACCTGGGGCCCCTCAGCCTACAGTCACAAGGTACCATGTCCCGGCGCCAGCACAGGGCAATGGCAGCACCCCAGCTCCCCCACCCGCCAAAGCACCATGTCCACAGTCCCCCGACAGTGCCGTCCCACCTCCAGGGCAGACCCCAGAGCCCCATGTGATGACACACGCAGGTAGAAGCTGGAGAAACAAGGATGCCCACCAGGCCCCCGCCCCATGGCCCCCCACCTCGTGGGGCCCCATCTCATGGCCCTGCCTGGGAGGTGAAGCAGCTCAGAGGGGGGCCAAGGCCCAGCCCTACCTGGGGCATCATAGCGATCCACCTCCTCATAGGACACCGACATGACAGGGTGCTTGAGCTTCTCCCGAAAGTCTGTGATGGTCTGGTAGACCAGGAAGACGGCCACAGCCATGAGCAGGAGGTAGATGAGGATGAGCAGCACCGAGAAGACGTTCTGCAGGCAGGCGCGGCTGAACCTTAGGCTGCTGGCCGCCGACTCGCTGTCCAGGCCTAAGCAACAGAGGCCAGTGACCCCAAGCACCAGCAGGTGCAGCCCTGGCCTCACCCGCTGCCCAAGGGGCCTCACCCCCAGGCACCACACACACACCTGTCACCAGTCACACACCCCCGCCCTGCCAGGCAGGCCAATTGGTGACTCCTCTCCAGAAGGGCCCACATGGAGCTGGACCCCAAGCCCTACCTCCCTCAACTCCCAGCTCTGTCACCCCAACCTCTTTTGTTCCTCCAGCATCCCTTATCCCTGGTATCCCACATATGCACTCCCGGTGCCAGCCCCGACACGTCCCCCATGACTCCAGGCCTGGCACCCACTAACCCCAGCCCTCCACCTCCCACACCCACACTCCTGGCCTGAGGAGGCCCAGCTCAGCTCCAGGGCTCAGTTTAGAAAGGCATTTCCCAGAAGTCAGCAAAATGACAGAGAGAAGACGCAGGGCTCGGCTCCTCTACAAACCCACAACTAAACACTACAGGGCTAGAGACATGGTCCCCAGAGGGGGCAGAGGGAGTGTCCTTGCTGCCCTCGGCCAGCCCCAGCAGCAGGACCACCACCCACCAGGCTCTGCATGCAGCTGTCACAAGGAACAGACCCCAGCTGCCCTCGCTCCCCACCACAGTCGAAACACCAAAACAAAACACCAGTCAAGAGGCAGAAAGCAGCTGAATGGACCAAGCTACAAAGTCCTGTCTTCCGTTGTTTACAGGAGACCCTTTCTACTCCCAGAGACGAGCACAGGCTTAAAGCAAAAGGCTGGGACACAACCCTAGAAGCAAAACAAACAAAAACTAAGGGACAGCTACACTTAAATCATATGAAACAAGACTTTCAGTTAAAAAACACAGGACAGGGCCTCCCCCCCTAGTGGCGCAAGGGGTTAGGCATAGTGCTGTGAAGCTGTCCATAGCCTCCAAGGCATGGGTTCGATTCCTGGCTGACCAGGAAGATTCCACATGGCGCAGCAGACCTCTCCCATCTCTCACTACTCCCCTCAGCAGTGTATTTCAATCCATCTGCCTGTTCGGCTCCCCACTCTCTCTCTCTGGTGAATCCTCTCACCCCCCGCACCTCTGGCCTGTATCCCAGTTCTTGTATGCATAAATAGATAAATCTTTAAAAAAATAAAATAAAATAAAAAACACAGAACAGAGATTGACATTGAACTTGACATAAGACCTAGTACTTTCAAGTGATGTGCATCAAGTGATGGAGCATCCAGATGTATAAAGCATTAACAATGTTTAAAAAAAAATTTAAAAATGATACATAAAGCAATTACTAAGGGAACTGAAGAGACACCAGGGCACAATAATAGCAGGGCTGTCACCACAGGGGCTGAGCAGTCAATGAAACACACAATTATCACAAAAAAAAGGGCGAAAATCATATGGTCAGATCAATCAATACAGAGAATGCTTTTGAGAAGATACAATCCCCATTTCTGATAAAAATTCTGGACAATGTGGGTATTCAGGGAACATATCTCAATAGAATACAGACCATATGGGCCTCCCTCGTAGTGCAAGGGGTTAAGACGCAACCTATGAAGCTATCTACAGCCACTGCAGTGCGAGTTCGATTCCCGGCCAAGGTGATTCCCACAGGGTGCAGCAGACCTCTCCTGTCTTCCCCGCTGCTCCCCTCAGCAGTGGATTTCAGTGGATCCACCTGTTCAGCTCCCCACTCTGTCTCTGGTGAATCCTCTCACACCCCCACCACCACTTCTGGCCTGTACCCCTGTTCCTGTATGCATAAATAAATAAATCTTTAAATAATACAGACCATATACCTCAGACATATCATACTTAACAATGAAAAACAGAAGCTTTGCTTTTAAGATCAAGGACAAGGGGAGGATGCCCCATTGCCACTTCTGTTCAATTTCGTTTCAGAGGTTTTAGCTAGAGCAACCAGACACCATAACAACAGGGCCCAGGAAGGGATTTGCATGATTTGCAGACCATATGATACTATATACAGGAAACCTTAAAAACTGCCAAAAAACTATTAGAAATTATAAATGAGGAACGTGGCAGCCTAGAGAAAACACCACAAAGCTGTTGCTTTCTTATAGGGAAGTAATTATCTAGAACAAAAAAATTAACATTAAGACAATAATCCCTTTTACAAACAGATTTTAAAGAATACCTAGGAATAAACAAGGGAGGTGAAGGATTTATATAGTGGAAACTGTAAGATATGAATAAAGGATATAAAACAAGACATAAAGAGATAAGACATCCCATGTTCATGAATGGGAAGAATCAATATAGTCAGCCTGGCCATTTTATCCAACACGATAGATTGAATCCAATTTTCATTAAAATTATGATGGGTGCCTCCCTGGTGGCCTAGGGGTTAAGTCTCAGACTGTCACCCCTGTGGCCTGAGTTTGCTCCCCAGCCAGGGAGCTGACCCACAGGGCACAGTAGAACTTTTACACCATCATCCTGCTTTTTACAAGCTCTTGTTTCAAATTAATGGAATTTTTCTTTTTGATGTGCTCTTTAGGGCACATACAGCTTACTACAATATTGTCACGCAGTTCAAAAACCACCACTTCTGCAGGAGGACAAGAGACTATAAAACATTTTTTATATTTTACTAAAAAAAAAAAAAAAAAGCAGTGGGCCTAGGTGACAGGGGATATCAAAGCTGGTAAGTGACCACAGCGGGCTCACCTGATGATGGTCACTGAGAGCCCCCGGGGTCTCCTCAGCAGCAACGTGAACACAAAGCTGAGCGATGTCACCTTTCAGCAGGAAGGACTCATGGTCCAGTGACGTGGCCGTCACAGCGCCGAGCCTCCCCAGCCCTGTCTGGGTTCTACCACAGCCCGGACGGAGGTGGAGGCACGAGACCACATGAGACTCCCCACTGAGGAGCTGGCCAAGTGGAGGGGCTCCTGGGGAGGCCCCATGATGTGGGTCCCTCGACACTGCAGTGCTCCCATCCTGCCAGCCCTTGGGGGCAACTTTTCAGCCCCACTGCCCTGTCTCCTTCCGCCACTTCGCCTCACTGACACCATAAAAGCCATTCAAGGATGCTGGGTAAATAGCTAGGATCACACCCAGCTGCTTGTAGAAAGGGTACAAAGCCAATTTACTAGGAGAATTGCCTATTCCAACCCATAATACCTAAAATGAAGTGACAGAACATACTAGAAACACTGCAGCAGAACAGCAACAGGAGCCTGAGCCCAGCAGAGCATCCTGAAGTGGCTCAGGGTGACAGCTGCACCTGTGCCTGCTGAATATGAAAGGGCTGGGCTGGGGCTAGGGCTGGGGGCTGGGCTGAGGGTTAGGGTACAAAACAGAAACAGAAGGAAGGTTGAAGAAAAAAGATGGCTACAAGCAAATGAGTCTGAAAACCAGTGGCACCAAATTATAAGCCACCAAAAAGGGCTCAACAGCAGAGAATTCATGAGACTGAAAACAAAATGTCAGAGAACAAACAAAAGGAACACGGAGAAAAAGATTAATAAAATAAAAATGGTAGGGGCCTTCGAGGTGCATCCATATGGTGGGGGTCACAGAAGGAAGAGAAAAAGACACAGATATTTCCAGAAATAACGGCTGAGAACCATCTCAACCTGACATCGTGACCTAAGAGGCCCAAAGATTTTCAAACAAATTAAGGACTCAAACACTCCTGGACGCATTATAAATATGACACCTAAGAGCCACCGACAAGGGATACCAGTTAAGACTCTGAGCTGGTGAATCCTTATAGGCAAGGAGGGAAAGACAAGAGCTCAAGACTCAAAGACAAAGATTTCCGGACTTGAGTATCTCACAGGACAAGACCATCACTCGAGGCAGGAGGAGCTCACTAAAAAGCAAAAATTAGAAGAATTTACCCACACCAAGCTAGCCACAAAATAAGTGCTAAAGGGCTATTATAAAAGAACAACAACAAAATACAAAGGTTAGGGGCCCCTAAATCACAAAACATGGGAAAGGAAGAGTGAAAATGTGGCCCATCAGAGCCAGTTTGAGGTCAGACCACCAAAGAGACCACAAAAATAGCCCACGACACACTAAATCCGCAGAAACACCAAATAGCAGCAGGGATAACACAGAAGACGAAACCAGAGCCCAGCAAAACATGAAAGGTGCCCAAAATAAAGACAAACTTAAAAAAGTTTTTACTAACACAATGGCAATGAGCACTAGCCTCAATTATCTTAAATGTAAATAACTTGAATTCACCAGTTAAAAAGTACAGAGAAGCTGAACGAATTTCAAAACAAAACACCAACCCATGGGCTGTTTTTTTTTTTTTTTAAGAATTATTCATTTATTGTAAGATTTTTATTTATTTTTGTGTAGGCCAGAGGTGCGGGGGGTGAGAGGGTTCCCGAGAGACAGAGTGGGGAGCAGAACAGGTGGATCCACTGAAATACACTGCTGACAAGAGCAGTGGGGAGACAGGAGAGGTCTGCTGCGCCCTGTGGGTCAGCTCCCTGGCCAGGGATCGAACTCAGGCAGTAGCCGTTACAGAGCTGCAGCTTAACCCCTAGACCACCAGGGAGGCCCACCTATGGGCTATTTCTAGGAAACCCATCTCACCCACCAAGACAAGGGACAATTCGGAGTGAAAGACTGGAAGACAATCCCACAAGCAAATGATAATGATGATGATGATATTAATAATAATAATGAAAACACTCAGGAACAGTGAAACGTATCAGATAAAATAGATTTCCAATCAAAAACGATTCGACATCAAGATGGGTATTTCATTATGACAAGGGGCCTAACAGAACTATGAGAAATAACACATAAATATACATGCACTTACATAAGATACATTAGACAATTATTAGAACAATATTAACTATTAACTAATTTTTTTTAAGATTTATTTTATACAAGCACTGGGTACAGTTAGAAGCACGGGAGGGTGAGAGAATTCACCAGAGCCAGAGCAGGGAGCAGAACAGGCAGAAGGACCGAAGTACACTGCTGAGGGGAGCAGCAGACGCAGCAGG